TTACACTGCAGTGTAATAAGATAGATTAAATGTTCACTTAGTTATTATGTACCATTTCTTCACAGAAAAAAAACTAGTGACAAAAACACTAAAGTACTGACTTGCTTATGTTACAATATTTTATATCTACCTGAACTATAAAGAAATATCAATATTTAAAAATTTTGTCAAACTGTAATGACTACTGGATCAGTGGATATAATTTCACTTTTTATTAAATAACTATACACAAACTACATGACACAAATTGACATTATAAAATGTATTTATTTGAACATTTGAACAAAAAATGCGTCAACATACTGTAATGTTAAACAGATTACTGTAATAACTCATTTAAGAGAAACACAAAATTATGGTGTAGCATCTTCCTCAAATGTCTTAGTAAAGAGCTGGCTTCAAATGTGCAAAATAAAATAAAACAATAAACCAGTCACTCCATCCAGTCATATTCCGACATTTTGGATATAAGAGACAGGACCCTGGGGTTCACTGCAATCCTTTTTCTTTTTTCTTGCTTTTCCACTTTGGACCCATTGTCAGGGTTGATTTTGAAGATGCACCTATTGGCAGGACAGTGCATTAAAAATAATGATAATTTATTTAGAGGAAGTCAGAACACAATTTTGCAGACAAACTTTCTGATCATTTTTAAAGTATAATTTTAAACACAAGACTGGAACATATTGTAAAATTGACTATTATTAATCAATATACTATTAAAACAGATGAATATTTTATGCAGATTCTTGTAGTGACCATAGAGCAGTCTTAATTACGTCATAAATATATGCATATCTAATAAGGCCATTTAAAACAATTTGACCACACATTATAAAATAGAAGCTGTGCCCCCACTGTGAAATGTTAGTCCAACACCTACAGGTAACAAAAAAAGAAATACCTTTGAAGAAATTCCAAGGTGATGCCAGCCTCTGCAGGGTAGTCAATATTCATGACATAGTACATCATGAACATGTTAACCACAGCTTCAGACAATGTTGATATTCTGTCCATTACAACCACCTGATCCACTGCTACCATGTAGCCTGTTGCTGTGAAATGGCTGTCTCCTTTGAAAGTATAGGAAACAGACTTTAGCTTGGCTATAGGAGCTTATGTCACATTTTCAGGATAAGACAACATATTACAATATACCAGAACAGAAATTAATGCCTTAAGATCTCTACTGGGCTGTTGTCTATGCATAATGTTAAATCAAACTCTGGACATCAATATGATGAAGAGGACCACCCTCAACCAGAGCAAGGCTTTGCAGGTCAAGCTCTTTTAAAGTTTCCTAAATATTAACATCAACCTTTCTGGAAACAAAATGTACTTAAGAGTTAATTTCAGTATATCGTTAGAATTCTGCTATGGTGTATGCCTTAAACAGAAATGGATTAATCTGTTACATTTTAAGAGAAAATAATGTTACATCATGACACTTTTTGTTGATATACAGAAAAAAAAGCTGGAGGTAAAAATACTAATAACGATAACAACATAAGGCCAACAACAAGTATTGGCTTTATGTTTTAAGATTTTTTAAGAACTGAAATAATCCGATTTTTACTAAAAGTGTAAACGCCTTGTATATATACACAGCAACAGAAAAAAGATCAAACAGTACATACCACACACCACGATGCATGGGGTTGGGGGAAGAGCCTCTCTTCTTACTTCGGCTGACACACAGGTGTCCTCAACTTGAATGAAAAACTTGCTCTCATCTTCTTTGAAGTGAAGCAACAACATTAGGACAACCACAGACAAATCTCCACGTGCAGACTCTATTTCACTAAGAAGTTTTGCTGCATGACTTCCTTTTTCCCAATGTATATATCTGAAGTATTGCAGGACCCGACTGAACTTGCTGGTCATGGCCTCTTCAAACTCTTCATTTACATGAATGCCAGTAAGTTTGTTGAAGTGGGCTTTCAATCCAGTTGTGTGGAACAGGTAAGGCCATTCTTCTTTTAAGATTTGTATGTCTTTTTGATTTAAAACATCCATTCTCTGGGAGGCAAATGTATACATCATCAATCTCTCAATTTTTTTCTGGTCCATGTCATTTTCCTCGAACATTCTCTGTAGTTCCTGTTTCTGTGCTTCAGTGTTTAATGACACATGTGGCTCTGGGTCAATACATCCATATGCATTCCTTCTCCTCTTTGTTTCTGTGGTGTTCCCACCAGAGCTGGTTTGAAGGATCTTTGGTGGCTGCACTCTTTTAAAATTGTCCACTCGACACTGCAGTTGTTTTGTAATTGAATCATACCCACTTCCCACAATCTGACCCTCAATTACATCCTTGAATGATTTTGGATAGGCCAACACCATCTTGCGAGCAATTTCACTCAGGTGTTTCTTCAAGGGATTTTTGCATACAGCTAAGATTTCTGCAGTCACCAGCCTAATAATCTCTCTTCTGTCCCTTCCAGATGGCCGTTCCTCCTTTTTGAGAGTGTTTTTTTTTTTGTGTGTGCAAGGTGTTCCATGGTATTTGGAATTTAAAGTGCCAGTCATTCTCTAGTACTGGCGGTCCCGTCTCCTTAGTACTGGTGGACGGTATCACATTATCATCACACATACCTGTAATAGACAATAATATAAATGAGGCTACATCATGCTACACACTAAGCTCTGCGTCATACATGTATTAGAATGGATACATATCTTTTTCAGTAATGTGAAAAGGTTGGCAATTGCTTACTGGAATAAAATTTGACCACACACTAACTTGCTGTCTCCCCAATAGTTTCTTCTTTTATTGTATAACGAAAGCCAGACTACAGAGCCTGGGAGGTGCATTGGGGTGAAAAAAACTGTGTGCATGGATTACTAAATTAAGACCACCACCCCCACCCCCCACTCATGATCATTATTCCTGCAACCCCACACAAAAATACTTACTTGTATTTGGGGAGGTGCTATGCATTAAAGCAGAATGTGAATTTGCAGAAGAGCTCTCTTCCTCTTGAAAATCTCTGCATGATGGGCTGAGCGTGTCTGTGGAGCAATTTAAATCACCAAAAACACATTAAGTATTCAATATAGTAAAGGCTATTTTAAGATACTCACAGACGAGAACTGAATTCACTTTGACCAACTCTGGAAATTAACCTGCTCTGTTTCAACTATGTATAGTTTTAAAAAGTCCTAATTCATGACAAGGATCTAGCCATCAAAGCCATTTAAAAACACATTATCATCCCTTCTTGTATGGTCCATACAGTTAGATTGTTTTGTGACTTCAGATTTGAGATTGATCAACTGAGATTCTGCCTTCACTTCAGTACAACGAAGATTAGTGGACTTAAGGTTGTGGTGCTCAAAGGACTGAAGAATGACATTACATGATATTTCCCT